CTGTTCTAAACGACGGGCTGTAGCCCGGTGGGAGGCACGACAGTACTTTTTGGATTGAATTTGGATCTTTCTGTTTTCGCGCCATGACCGCGCGCACATTCTGCGACGCGCGAAATTAATCGACTTGCTACATCGGACCTACACGGGGGATTTCAGTTCCATCTGTGTCCCCACACTCAATTTCCAAAAATCCTTGGCACACCCCATCTTGCTGTTTTTCTGGGCCTCTTTTCCGCACAGCTAACACTCCGAACGGAAGACAGCACAGGGCGTGAGGTTGCGCGTCACAAGCATGGGTAGTTTTTGTGTCTGGTGTTTTTAATTGGATGGGAGGACAGGTGGCGTCCCTCTAACCCCTTTTTCTTGACTGTGCTTCCAAGGTATATCTTTGGAAGGAATTTTCTTTTGAATAGAAAGGTCAGTACAGTGTGCTCGAGTCAGATCAAAAAGAGATCGGCAAAAGAAAAAAAAAGAAAAAAAAGAAAAGAGATCGGCGGGAAGGCCGGGGGGTACAAGGAAGCGTTGATTTCTTCCAAAACAAAAAGAAAAAAAAAGGAAAGAAAAAGATATCCGAGGCAGAAAGCCGAGACAAAAAAATTACCATTTCTCGATTCTTACCGGCGAAATTACCGGCTCGGACAGGTAAAAGGGACCAAAACAGAAAGAAAAAAAACTAAAAGAAACAATTCTAACCAATTACAACCCCTAAGCACTAAACCCAACAATCTTGGCTAGAATGCCAGTGACGTTGCGACCCCGGAAGGATCCGAATCCTTCGCCTGATTCGACAGACTCCCCATCCTGAGAACGCTCCCTCCACTCACCTGATTTCCACCAAACTGCGGGCCTACCGCGGACATACAGAGCAACCGAGTGGTCAGGTTGTCTGAACATGTAGAAGCCAAGGTCCCAGGACCAGTTGCTCCTGTTTGTTGATTGCTGCCAACTGATTCCCCAAACCCCATGTGGTCAGGAACCACTGATATCCCCTCTTGCCCGGTTTCTTGTTCTTGACTCTCCGGGCCCAATACACTATCAGTGCCAGTCTCAGTTGACTGCGCACCTCCTTCTGCATCGGTTCCCTCAAGGTATCCTTTGTTGTTGTTAAAGACCTTTGCGTTTCTGGCCAGCCACAATACTCTCAACAGAACAGCTCTTGCCACCTGAGCAACATATCCCCAACCCGTGTGAGTTCTAAGGTTTGCCCGCAACCGGCCTGTCAAAATCCAGTCATCACTCCATTCCATAGCATTGTTTGTTACTTTCTTCCAGTGCTGCTTCCACCACCGCCAGAGATCTTGTGCCACTGGACATTCCAGGAGAAGGTGGCGAAGTGTTTCTTCCGCTCTCTGGCACTGCGCGCACTGAATGTCCACCTCCATCCTCCTTTTTGCCAGCCAGGTGGCGGTGGGAACAATCCCGCGGGAAACCATCCACAGGAAACCCGCGTGCTTTCGTGAAGGCGGTATCTGGATCTGTTCCCATATTGCATGGAGATGACCCGGCTTCGGTTTGTCTGTAATGTTAAGAAGGTCCTGAAGCTTGCCCCAAGGAATACCGTTTCTCGACTCTTGCCGCGGCTTTTTGTCGTTCTCAACTCACGCATTTGAGGTGGAAAAAAATAAAAATAAAAAAAAAAAATTGAGGTGGCATGTAGGGAGTGGTCACAGCGGTCGACAACACGTATTTGTCCTTTCTCTACAAGGGCCTCGCTGCACTACTCTTGAAATGCACAAAAGACAAAAATAATTTCGCTGTAAGTTTCCATGTTCTAGCGGAAGATTCACTCTCGTTTTGCATCTTTCAAGAGTAGTGCAGCGAGGCCATGCCCGTTCGCTGTAAGNTTCCATGTTCTAGCGGAAGATTCACTCTCGTTTTGCATCTTTCAAGAGTAGTGCAGCGAGGCCATGCCCGTTCGCTGTAAGTTTCCATGTTCGGGCTCGCTTCGCTACGCAAGGGGCGTCGCCACAGCACTCCCGAAACGTGAAAAAGACAAAAATGTGGTGGGCGCATCTGGCAATGTTCTAGCAGGAGGTTCATTCTGGTTTTGCCAATTTCGAGAGTGGTGGGCGCATCTGGCAATGTTCTAGCAGGA